TGAAAAGTATACAACTGTACGATAATTTTTAAGTATTTACTATAAAATTTGATTTGAGTTTGGGAATTTTATCAAAGTTAATGATTAAATTACTTCGTCTTGCCGTAAATTTAACATCATGTTGCACCACTCAAATCGCTGTGCGGCAATCTTCCGCATGTGTTGCTTGCGAATAGCAGGGAAATAGATGCATGTCATGGCAATGCGTACGTAATATTCGGTGTATTTGTATCTGCTGCAATCCTCAACCTAACCTAATCTATGCTGGAAAGATCTCTTACCTTTGGATAATGTTTAAGTGGATACCTGTATACGTATAAAAAGGACATTGAGAACAAAGATTTTAGCAACAATTAGCCCTATATTTGTTTCTAAATATACTTGCTTTAACTAAAAAATATATTATTTACAAGTTTATTTTTAAAAAAAATTGTAATTCGTGTAGACTTACATAAAATATTGGAAAATTCCTTTCAGTTTCTGGAGGAAAAATTAGTTTTAGACACTTAATCTTGTGGAAAAAATTGATTTATAAAAATTAGTTTTTTTTTCCTCCTGGAATACGATTATAAAATTACGTTAATGAATTTCTTAGGAAAATAAAAATAATGCTAAAATTTCATTTATTACTAAATTAGCTTTCCATTTACGAATTTTTAAAATGCTCTCTCTTTTTTATGTTTCGGAAAAGTTGCACCTCTTTCTTTTATAACTAAGATCGATCGGTTCGTTTCAATTGTAATTTTTTTATTTAAAAAAGTTTACACTAATTTTGAAATTTTATATAAAAATTATATAAAATTTCAAAATTTTAAAAATCAACTGAACACTTATAAAGAAAAAGTTTATAATTTTCTTGGCTATTTTCTCAAAATTTTTTCTGTTAACAGTGAAATCCGAGAAATCGCTTAAACAGTGAAACGATTTCACTGTTTCACTGTTAACAGTGAAACAGTGAAATCGCTTAAACGGTGACGAGTTAAATAACTCGTCACCGTTTAAGCGAATATTTAAAACATTGACACGAGTTTTTAGATGATAAAAATAATATAATCTACGCCACTATCTATCATAGAACTCAAGATAGGATTTTCTCCGTGCAAAGAAGACATTGAGTCCAAACCAACGAAGAGCCCACAACCTACATTTCAGTGTGATTGCATTTAGTAATAACTATATTATTAGATACAGCCTGCTGCAATATTTATGTCTACACCTTTATGCTAAAGATTCAGCCTGTCTTTATTATAAAATTTCTCTATTGCGGACTCTTTCTGATCACAGAATACATCTATAATTTTCTGTATTGATCAATAAACGTGTAAGGAGGATAAGTAATTAAGAGAAGTAAAAAAAAAATTCGATATTTTATTTCAAAATTTAAATAGGAGAATTATATATTTTCATTTCTATTTCTAAATTTTTTTCAAATTATTTTTCACCGTACAAGGTTTTATTTTTCATTGAATAATAATTTTTTCATTTGCACATTTTAATGTTAAACAGATGCTTTAGGAAAAAGTAGATCGTCACATTCTCTCTTACTTTCGCTTTCGTGTTAAACAAATATTTAAATCGCTGTAAAGGCGTGTTGCATATTATTTCAAAATACTATTAAAACTTTTAATGTTGCTAGACTAAGTAATGAAAACTATTAAAGCTTTCCATTAAATAAGTATACAATAGTCTTAGAAAAGAAAAGAAAAAACTCTAAAAAAATTAAAAATCGTGATAACGAATGAAAAAAATTTTTTCTTTATGAATTTTAAATTGATATTCTAAAAATGCGTAAATTTTTCAAAATTAAAAAATATCTTCTGGATAAAATTCTATAAACTTGAAAAAAAACTAAACTAATGCAATTTAAGAGAACATTCTGGACACCGGTAAGTAAACGTAATCAGTAATTTTAATTAACTTATGTTGTTAGTTACTAAGAACGGATTTAGAGGGTTGTACAGTACTCCTTTGAGGTTTTCCCTGAACTAAAGCCGGCTACCTCAGGTATTAAAAAATTCTGTAAGGCTTACTGTTTTCTTCTTGCAATCTCCTGTAAAGATTTCTGGATCCTCTACCGTTAGTTGCAGCTTTNTATCGATCCGACTGTCCTAACAGAAAAATTAAAAATTACGTCAATATACAAGCCTGCACACATTCCATTCCGAGAAAACAATGCCTCGTTGGCTCATAAAATGTGCAGAAAGAGTTGTGGTTCGTCTTGCCGTAAATTTAACATCATGTTGCACCACTCAAATCGCTGTGCGGCAATCTTCCGCATGTGTTGCTTGCGAATAGCAGGGAAATAGATGCATGTCATGGCAATGCGTACGTAATATTCGGTGTATTTGTATCTGCTGCAATCCTCAACCTAACCTAATCTATGCTGGAAAGATCTCTTACCTTTGGATAATGTTTAAGTGGATACCTGTATACGTATAAAAAGGACATTGAGAACAAAGATTTTAGCAACAATTAGCCCTATATTTGTTTCTAAATATACTTGCTTTAACTAAAAAATATATTATTTACAAGTTTATTTTTAAAAAAATTGTAATTCGTGTAGACTTACATAAAATATTGGAAAATTCCTTTCAGTTTCTGGAGGAAAAATTAGTTTTAGACACTTAATCTTGTGGAAAAAATTGATTTATAAAAATTAGTTTTTTTTTCCTCCTGGAATACGATTATAAAATTACGTTAATGAATTTCTTAGGAAAATAAAAATAATGCTAAAATTTCATTTATTACTAAATTAGCTTTCCATTTACGAATTTTTAAAATGCTCTCTCTTTTTTATGTTTCGGAAAAGTTGCACCTCTTTCTTTTATAACTAAGATCGATCGGTTCGTTTCAATTGTAATTTTTTTATTTAAAAAAGTTTACACTAATTTTGAAATTTTATATAAAAATTATATAAAATTTCAAAATTTTAAAAATCAACTGAACACTTATAAAGAAAAAGTTTATAATTTTCTTGGCTATTTTCTCAAAATTTTTTCTGTTAACAGTGAAATCCGAGAAATCGCTTAAACAGTGAAACGATTTCACTGTTTCACTGTTAACAGTGAAACAGTGAAATCGCTTAAACGGTGACGAGTTAAATAACTCGTCACCGTTTAAGCGAATATTTAAAACATTGACACGAGTTTTTAGATGATAAAAATAATATAATCTACGCCACTATCTATCATAGAACTCAAGATAGGATTTTCTCCGTGCAAAGAAGACATTGAGTCCAAACCAACGAAGAGCCCACAACCTACATTTCAGTGTGATTGCATTTAGTAATAACTATATTATTAGATACAGCCTGCTGCAATATTTATGTCTACACCTTTATGCTAAAGATTCAGCCTGTCTTTATTATAAAATTTCTCTATTGCGGACTCTTTCTGATCACAGAATACATCTATAATTTTCTGTATTGATCAATAAACGTGTAAGGAGGATAAGTAATTAAGAGAAGTAAAAAAAAAATTCGATATTTTATTTCAAAATTTAAATAGGAGAATTATATATTTTCATTTCTATTTCTAAATTTTTTTCAAATTATTTTTCACCGTACAAGGTTTTATTTTTCATTGAATAATAATTTTTTCATTTGCACATTTTAATGTTAAACAGATGCTTTAGGAAAAAGTAGATCGTCACATTCTCTCTTACTTTCGCTTTCGTGTTAAACAAATATTTAAATCGCTGTAAAGGCGTGTTGCATATTATTTCAAAATACTATTAAAACTTTTAATGTTGCTAGACTAAGTAATGAAAACTATTAAAGCTTCCATTAAATAAGTATACAATAGTCTTAGAAAAGAAAAGAAAAAACTCTAAAAAAATTAAAAATCGTGATAACGAATGAAAAAAATTTTTTCTTTATGAATTTTAAATTGATATTCTAAAAATGCGTAAATTTTTCAAAATTAAAAAATATCTTCTGGATAAAATTCTATAAACTTGAAAAAAAACTAAACTAATGCAATTTAAGAGAACATTCTGGACACCGGTAAGTAAACGTAATCAGTAATTTTAATTAACTTATGTTGTTAGTTACTAAGAACGGATTTAGAGGGTTGTACAGTACTCCTTTGAGGTTTTCCCTGAACTAAAGCCGGCTACCTCAGGTATTAAAAAATTCTGTAAGGCTTACTGTTTTCTTCTTGCAATCTCCTGTAAAGATTTCTGGATCCTCTACCGTTAGTTGCAGCTTTCTGAATTCTAGAAACTGACCCTTATTTAGCAGTTAGACAAGGAAAAAACAAAAAACTCCACCTGTCCAGCCGGCTGGTCAGGCGCAAAATCACATTTTTTTTTACCATTCGACTGGTGAAATGAATTATTTTTTTACTAAATACAAACTTACAAGTTAGTAAAAAAAAAATTAATTATCAGTTTAGTCCTAGAATCCTATAGCTCTAGAAAACAACTAAATCTATAATACTAATTCATAATTTATGTCAAAATTATTATTATAAAAAGTATTACATTATTATTTTCGTATAATTTTAAAAGATATTTTAAAAATCGGGTTCTATTTATGTCTTTGCTTTCTATCTTTTCGAACTTGATACTTANTCTCAATTCACAAAAACATGGTTCGATGCGAATGGAAGGGAACATGGACTCAAAATCACAAACGGTGAAGTAGATGCCATCCAAGCTGCCAAGTGCGTTCAATATGTGAATCAACTGTACTGAATTGGACACAGTATACGGATATTCCTCCATGTTGTTCGTTATAAAAGAGTTAACAAGAAAGTCCAGTTTGGAAGAAGTCCTGCATAACTTCAGAACAGCCTTTCTATAAGATTTGGCCGGCGTAGCCATATCAAAATAAGCATCCATCATAACCTTTTGTTAAAGGCTCTACATCGGGTATGCGCATAACTTCAAGATTCAATTTTTTCGAATTCTTGGAATCGAACCTGACGATGACCATTGAAAACGGTAGAAAACGTTCGTTTGGAAGTGAATTATTGCTGATTTTTTCGGTAATTACGTATTTATTTTATTGAAAATGATAGAAAAATATTCATTACTTTTTCGCAGTTGGCATCGCCATTAGTAAATTCGGTTGTGGTCGACCAGGTTGCATCTCCGTCTTCGCTGAGACTACCCCAACTAACCGTAAATTCTTCTGGAATGGCATCTGACAATTCTTGATCTCCGTCTCCAGATGTAGATGGCTGAAAAAAACTTTAAAGCATGATTTATCTAATTAATTAAAACGCGCATAAATCATTACAATTACGCTTACGATGTTAGTTACTTCTTGCTTTCTATACAAGACTAAATTATGTTCAATTTCCGCATGCTGTACAAGATCCCACCAATTGGAACATTTCGTCTCACACTTCATGCAGACAGGTACAGTCGGTGCGTCTGAGAATAATTAATTATTCTTACTTAATTGCCAAAAATATTATTATTTAATATTAAATTTTACTTCTGCGTTATATAATTTTAATTGTCAATAATGTCGTCATTTTATACAAAAAATTTAAATATTAATTTCAATTTATATTTTACACGTGTTTTCAGTTTAATTTATGACGACGACATTTGATAACCTGCTGATTATCTCATTTATCATTTGTAACTGAATCTTATTAATTTAATATGATTCTCTTAATACTTAACTGTAATTTGTCCCGCTTCGTTAAAATATATTTTTCTAGCTTATGTTTATCTGATTATCGTATTAATAAATTAAGCATGTTATAGGAATCAATTTGAATTCTATATGTTCAGTCAATAAGGTTAAAGATTAGAATAAATGTAAATAATAACAGGCACCACATGACTCGGCTATATCCTTATTCAGAAATAATGGCATCCTTAAACTTTAATTTTTCTTTCAGTTTTGTTTAAGGAGCAAATTAACCTATTTTACATAATTATTTTGACAAGAAGAAAATATCTCATTAGCAATGCTTACTTTAAAAATTGTTACTGTAAATTGTTTAAAAACTAGATAAATACGAAGAATTATGCAAAACAAATTGTATCACCATCAATTTGTCCATTATAAATTTGATATTAATTTTGAAAAGAATAAAAGTCAAAGCATTTTAACAGATTTAAATCCCTACATTATATATAGTCTATAAGATCTTAAAATGATCCTTCGTTGTTGACTTTATAACGTTCTTGTCTTTAACATTTCTATCTGATTTTATATAAAGGTTAATTTAATTAAAAATATATATTCTCTACATAAATAACACTTTATTAGAACTCCGCGATAATTTATTATTTATTTAAGTAGCTAGGAAATTTTAGTAAAATGAGAAAAGTTTAGTTGTTACGTCAAACGAAAGAGTCGTAAATTAAGATTAATTTCGCTAAATTAGAAGAATAAAAAAAAGATGAAATAAATTTTTGTTAAATTTACACGAAAATAATCTATTTAATTTTAAATAACAACTCAAAAACTCAAGCCTTTTTCAAAGTATGTCCATCTTTCAGATAATTATATAATAGTTTCTTAATGCTTCCTTAGTTACACAATTAGTGTTTTTAGTTGCTTCATAAATACAAAAGTATAATTGTGAGACGAGAAAAAGCTTTACAAAGTTTATACATTTCAGTAACTAATTCAGATTAGTTCGTTGTTCTGTAATTAGATTCTTCACATTTTTCTAAAATCTACTATAATTTAACTACTAAAGCTGTCTTATTTAAGTTTGAAATCGAGCAGATGTTAATTATAAAATAACTTTAATATAGGGGAGATCGGGGCAACTTCGGCATGCGGGGCAAGTTTGTCAAGCGCTTTTTTTAAAAAAACAAATTAAAAGGAGACTTTGGTTATAGGTTAGGCAGTTGAGTTTTATTAGTGGCTTGTTGAGTGTAGTGTTTTTATTGTTCTCCAACAAGCGTAGTTGAATTATCAAGCAAATTTTCATTTTCGTTCAATTCCATATAATATTTTTTTTCCATTTATATTGAATTGGCAGGTTTTGTTATAATTCCATGATAACGAAAGTTACTTTTCCTGTTAGAAGGATGTAACTTCAACTTATTCACGTGGCCAGATCGTGGCTTGGCATTCTGTTCTCAGGGTTGTACTTAATGTTTCGAAATCATGACTAGCGGGGTAAGATCGGCAACATAAAGCCACATTAGAAGCAAAGGATAAAAATCAAACAGATGATAAATGAAAACATGTTTGCATTTGTTATTCATGTATATATGTCTTTGAACTTGCATTTCGTTGTAATAATATTAAATGGGTGTTGGATTTGTATTTCTTTGTTTTAATAGTGAATTCCAACTTATACATTGTTAATAACATAATTTTATATACGTGCCTATCTTGCCCCATTACTGTTGCCCCTATACCAGGGGCAACTTTAATAAAAATAATTAAAATAATTACAACTTTACAAAAAGAGAGAAGTTGCCGATCTTGCCCCTATACCCGGGGCAACTTCGTCAATTTCTCTCTTCTTGTAAAGTTGTAATTATTTTAATTATTTTTATTTCCAAACTGATTTTAACCAGTTCTATAGTAAGGTAACATTCCAATAGACAATATGCAAAGCTTTTTTTTCAGTTTACAGCAGTATTTATTACACAAAATTTAAGTAAAGCTTAACATGCCGATCTTGCCCCGATCTCCCCTAAATTATCTTTCTCTATTATTCATTAAAGAGAAGTAAATAGTATGATGCCTGAATTTATTATTTTGATTTATTTCTTAGTGTTAGAAATACATAAGAGAATAAAAACAAATGTCATTATACCTATAGTCAAATAAGAGCTTCACAAAACATATAAGCTATATACTGTACATATAATGTGTTGTGTGTGTAATATAAGCCAACATTAATAACAACAAATTCTTGAATATAAGTATACGAATATTGAAAAAGATCAACTCAATGTTCAATTTAGAACCACAGTGACTGGTGTCTCGCGAGCCGCTTGTAACTCTTCTAGACTCTTATTGCAACTGCCATATACTTATACAATTTCTTTTTATAAACTTGGTATATACTACTTACACATATATTTTTTGTAAGTTTTCTAACTATTATGTGGTGTAATATAGACAGATTATCAAATGTAATATATATATAACTCGCAAGTTAACCTCGAACGAGCAACTGAAAGGTTAGAGTATATCCATAAAGTCGAAGGAGTTAAATGATTAGTCGGTCAGTCATCAGTAAAGTAAAATCACAGTGATATTTACCGTAGGATAGCAATAACTACAGTATTTTAACTATATATATGCCTAATATAGATTATGCGGCTATCGTGTATTTCTGATAGGTAGTGTATGTGACAAAGGGTTTGGTCACTCCTGGTTTAGATTATAACAACAATCCCTTTTTATTAATTCCATTCTGTCATTATCAAAAATGGGAATGACAAAAGAAATTTTTAACAATGTGACTCAGATCTGAAGGAATGATCTTTGAAACGTGAAGAAAAACAATAGAGTTGAGATATGAGAGACGTGATGTATTGTTATATTGTGTTTTCAGGATTCACTTGCAATATACGGTCAAATACAATAGATGGATACCAGATAGGTTTAGGAAGTCTACATTAATTGAAATTGAAGTATTTTTGTCTTATTGATAGAAGAAATAGTTTGTTCTTAAAGATATATACAAAAACAAAATATCGACTTGAAAAATTTATGAATTTAAACGTAAGATGAAAATGGTACGCGATGCTCAAAATAGTAAAAAAATTCCAGCAAACATCTACACCGAGTAGATAGCAGTTTTGATGAGTAAATATAGACTATACTTGCTTTTCAGTTTAATTTTTAAATTAATTAAATTAACTACGGTAATGTTAATATATAAGCATTATACAGTATTAATAATAAAATAATCATGCTCTTGGATTATATATCTCGCCTTAAAATACCGCTTCTTTCGTGTATGCCAGAAGTTAACATCGTAAATTCATTTTTCAAGTAGAAAATATTTTATTATTATTATTATTATACATATATTATATTTGTCTCCATTACACGGTAATAATTAATTACAAGTTTACAATTACGAAAATTTAAATAGGAAATTGAATGTATGATATAAACGTTAGATACTCTGTTGTTCTCCAGATTTTCATATAATTGTGTGAATTTGTAATCATATATAATTATAATTAATTTTACAAATAATATACTTTAATATACCGTAATTATTCTAGTAAATAGTATCCTCTCATAGTAAGTGCGCTGTTTATTGGGAGGAAGATAAGCATTATTATAAACTGAAAAATTGCACACATTCTATTCAACGTTGTCGCTTAATAGAAATAGAAGGTGTGATAATAGAAGGTGTGAGTGTATTGCGTATTGCGTCGTTGTTAGAATAATAATAAAGTAGAAAAATATCGCCAGATTTATTCCATTAATAGTCGACCTTTTATAGCAATCGCACTCTAATAAACAGCGCGGCTGAAAGATGAAAAAGTTATAGATAGCGCGCTATTTATTAGAATAAGAATGGTAGGCTATAGGCTATAACATATATTCTAATAGTCTATACAGTAGTTTAATATAACAAAACTATATATTAAAATTAAAATTTACAAAAAGTTTGAAATTATGATTGAATTTGTCTGTTGAATCCTGTTAGTTGTACGAACTAATCATCGATTAAACATGCATTAATATTAATAATAATTACAATTAAATTACATTGTTAATTGATATTTAATTCGTCTAATAATGTCGAAAGATAGTAGTTATAATTTAATACTTTTTATTGTTTTATAATATGAGGAGTAAAACCACCTTCAGGGACAAGAATAACATTACAATGGTACAGTACATCCTTTATATATCAATACAAACGTTTTGCTTCTATATTTTATATTCATATACTCTATAATGTAAACATATTACAGTAAATGCAAAATTAAATTATTTAGATTAAAAATGGAGAGTTGTCTGCTAAAGCGACTTTACCAAACAACTCGCTCGTTGAATATTAAAATGAATAATATAGCCTAAATAAAAATTATGGATTTTAGATAATACAGTGTGGTGCAGCATTTTTCCCTGTTATTTATTTATTACTTTTTTTTTAAGGATGTATTATTTTTCACTACTTCGGGACTTGCTGCCAGTTTTTCGCTAAATGCCTCGCATGATAAGTCAATGTTTGTTTTTATTGCTAAAATAGCTCGTAATGTTTCCACATTTAATTGAGAAATCGAGGACGAAATCGGGGATAAAATTAGCTCAGAACATGGGTTTTGTTTCGGAACCATCGCCGAAAATCTTCAATGCGTAATAAATTTACTATTTAAAAATATTATTTAATAACTGTCAGAAATAATACATTAAAATATTCGTTATTAGATCCGTGGAAAATTAATTTTCTAATGTTTATTTCAGCTATAAAATTCTAAAGAACCAAAAGATATTTTCTTAATCAGACTATTAAAAATATCAACTAATCCTGAGAATCCTCATTATACGTTAGTCTTTGTGACAAATACGACAGATGGTAGATACATTCCGCTGACAAAGAAATCCTTAGGATTTGGAACGAAATATCAGATGACGTCAAAGAATGATTTATTTATATATTTTGAGAAACAATTACGAATACTACCAGGGGAAAAAAAACAGTAAAAGTATGACAACGATGCTTATCTATTCTCATTCACATTATTCTTATCTTAAAACATAGTTATAGCAGGACCATTTTAAGTAGTTTTGAAGCGCCCGGCCTAATTTCTTTAGAGGTATTATACAGATATAGAAGAAGATATTAGTAATGAACAGTGAGATAAAGCCCCGACCGTGCTGAGTATGCAGCTTTATGTTACAATATAATATGAAAGGAAAATAAAAGAAAGAAAAAAAAAACATGGATTTGATGGTGACAACATTAAAATCATTTTTCTCACCTGTTGAACTTTCTTTTTCACATTTGCAGCTAAACCTTAATTTACAATTCTGCTTCTTGTGTTCGAAAAACGCTTGAATGCCATCGAATAATTCTTTGCAATTTCCACATATCAGAATATCTGGATTGTCTGTAAGACACAAAAACAAAATTTAGTTATATTAAGATTATTTTAAACCTTTAAATTTCACTCTTATTGATATTGAGTTAAATATCAAGATTTAAATAGGAAAACAAACGACGAAATATTTGCATTTCTTAAATCTGGATAATGAAGTTTTTAACTAAGTTATTGGAATAAAGCATAGAAGGGAAAAAGTGTTAAGTGGATTTTTAAGAGAATATTTTCTGGCATATTATCAGGAATTTGAATTTGATCTTCTGTGGGAATTCAATCTTATGGATAAATAAATTGCACTCAAAATAAAATAAATGTGTGGGTTTCATCAAAATCAGCTTTAGGATATTCATATTATATGAAGACATCATTTTACATTACTTTAAAAAAAATCCTTCTTGTTGCAAATCGTTTTCCTATTCTCCTATAAATGGACGTATCCATGATATGGATCAACACTGGCCAGAAAGATGGGAATTCATCAAAAATAAAGAAAACCAGACCCTCCATATTAATTAATTTATTTATATTTTTAAATTTTATTAAATGTAACTTACTGTAAGTTGATCGATGCAACGTTGATAAAACAAGTTTTCCTTTTTTCTTAGCTGCTTTTTCGCTTTTTAGTCGTTTTGCTGGGGATACTTGTCGAGTACACCTGTATAAAAACAAAGTTATATATCAAATTATTTATAAATAAAACAATTTATATTTATTGCGTGATGTGCAAAATTTCATTAATCACAAGTAAAGAATAAAAGGAATTAGATCTAGCTTTAGAGCATATGGTATTGCATCAAACATATTGGCTGCCTTCCATCACTCGTAACTGAAATTTATGACCTTCTTGTCAGTCGAATAATAATCTACAGAATTTTTATGATTGTCTTAGCAATTTGAATGGTTCGTAAAGACAATTATTTTCTCTTTTTCACCTCTTAACGTCATTGCACGATCTAATTATGTAATTGAAAAAGTTTTCGGTAAGACTGGAAAACTGTACGGTTTAAAAATATTCAATTTTAATTACAGTTTCTTGTAAAATTTTCTATTTTTAACATTTATGTTGAGAATAAATAAACAATAAATAAATATATATATATATAAATCTATTTATTAAATCCAATAAGACACAAGAATATCTATTATCTAACATGCCTTAGAAACTTCTACCCTTACTTTTGGTACCTCCCGTTCCATGTTTGATCTAAATTCGTCGCCTGAAGATGACATCATCAATCAAAATACTTATTAGATCTGGAAAAACAGGAGAAGTTCGCCAAGAATTCAACTTGCACTTAACATACCTCGAGTTTACTTAAAAAGATAAATTTTGTGACAAGTCCATCAACGAAAGTAGCTGAGCCGGTTAATCGAATTTCACATTCTAAAAAGCCGAAATAACAGAACTGCACAATATTCTACAAAAGGACAATAATAATTTCATTGCTTAGTTTTTGTTGTAAAACGAAATTAAACTAAGTTGTTTAGTTAAATCCAAATTTATTGTAACATTATTTTTTTAAAGACGTTTAACGTGTGATAATGGCTTCCACTTAAATTTTTTTTGTTTTTTGACTACATTCTCAATCCATTTTCATTTAAGATTATATTTGATATCATTTTTCAAAACTGATTACTCTGAGTCAGATATTAGTCCGATAGTTTTCCAATGATTATATAGTTTCTAGAGAGAGAATAGGAACAAGAAGAATAGAGGAAGTGAAAACTAAATTATCTTTTAGAAAAAGGGGGTAAAATCAATATAGAAGAAATATTATGCTGTTTTCTTACCTATATTGATCAATTCTATGAAAAATTTAGAGAAGATGATTTTCCATTTAAGCTATCGAAAAAGATACAAGTCAGTCTATTTTTTTGCGAGTGTACTGTACAAGTAACCACTTTTCTATATTAAGTTTACCAAAGAAAGTTTTTCGATAATGGACCACCTCGAAGATCAAATAAAAACTTCTATCCAGACAGAATGTTCGTAGATAAAAACTAATTTATATTTGAAATAGCCTATTTTAATTTTGGATCCGGAAGATAGACATATTACAAATACATGACTAACAATTTTATCAAGTTTTATTTACGAAACAAGTTTCAATGCCATTTGATTCAAAGGACTCCTTTATAAAATCAATCGAAACAAATTCTTTCTGAAGGAAAATATTCCTATTGTTCCTTGATATAGAAACAATAGGAATAAAATAAATGAAAGTTCGATTTATCTAAATGTTTGATGTAAAGATTTTAAGCGATTAGCGAAAAAACTGAATTTGTTATAAAATTATCTAATAGTTTAATAATTAAATTAGAATTTTTTTTTCATATTTTATTATTATAAAAACACTAAGTCTATCAATAATGCTTAGAGAATCTCGGAAAACAAGATAGATGAAACGAAAAACCTTTTCGTCAAATTAATATTGATGATTAAATTAGGCTACTGAAAAAAAAGCGGAAATTAATCTTTATACAGCTTTTTAAAGCTTTTTTAAGTAAAAATAAAAAATGAGACGTTTCATTAATAATAAAAAATGGGTAGAAATTTTCAATCAATCCATTTAGAATTTATCAGTAATGAATACAAGAATTTAATGTTATTTTTATTAATCTTCAATATTTAATAAAGATGAAAATAATCAAAACAGGAAGAACATATCGATACTTCGATTTGAGACAATAAAGTTGCTTGAAGTCTTTTCACGTGTACTGTTACAACATTAGCTCTTAATGGACGGACATCTTGTCAGTGGGCAATGAACTTCTACTGAAACTTTCTATGCTCGTTAAACAGATGTGCTCATACATTTCGATGGTACAGATTAGTTAGTTCTATTTTTTTCCTCTCTTCATTTCTAATTATACGTTAACCACATGCAGTTCTCGTTTGTTTTATTAATGACTAAACATTTTCATCGGTAATTAAGAAGAGTTCTATCTACTTATCGATTAAAAAAAATTGAATTAATTTATCATTTTGCTTAATACTAGTTCCAGTTTTCTTTTGCGATAAAAATAAAAATAGTATGGATTATTTTTATCATCTTCGAAGTGAACAAAAATAAGTTTCATCCAACAAAGTTTTCATTCAGTTTGTAATTTTAAGCGTGAATTCAAAAACCTTTTTTATTTTTGTAGAATTAAATGGAGAACAGACTTACATAGGAAGAAAGGAGAAACGTTGACAAAGAAATATAATCCTTCAGACAGAGAGTGATATCCAAAAATGAATTGTTTCCCGTTTAAGTTTTTCTTCCTCTTCATTAGCCATATCTATATATAAACGAAATCCATTCTCCGCCGTCGCGAAACAAAACAGTCGACCTGGATGTCGACCAACAAGTCGAACTTGGCATCCTTCATATTTTCGTAACCAACAGGTAAGAGGAACACCTTTCATTCTAATAACAGAAATTAATCATTATGTCCCTAACAGTTTACTTAGAAGGATACCGTTGAAAGAACAACTGCTTCTGTGAGAAAAGCCAACAGTTTAGCATTCATAATTTTCTTTTTCTTTTCTATTCGGCAAGTGATAAATTATGAAACCTATTAATCCTCATCAAAGCTCTCCAACGCAGAACAACAGCCACTTTGTCTGCTTCCTTGATTCCTATTTTCATTCGTTCGTCGTTTGTCTTCTTTTTTTACCGAGAGTAAAACTGGAAAAGTGAGCTATTTTCATTGTGGAAAAAATAGAATTTGATTCGGAAGTTGCCTTTAAAAAGTCTCTTAATACGGCGGCTTTAGAGAGTCTCTAATTAAGAGTCAAAGAAGACTAAGACTAGAAAGTCACCCACACGAATTTTAAAGTCGAAACAATGTGTTTTGTAGTCAAAAATAACAGAAATAGCAATGCTATGTTGCCAAAACTTCCACCATCAGTGCCGAATGCAATAAGAATGTAGGTTGTTGGTAATTGTGAAAAAAAGACATCATTTTAAAAAATAGAGAAAAATTACAACTATGCTCCCCTTTGTTATGCGAAGATCCCAATTTTCTAAACAGTTCATACTACTTGCATAGAGTGCTTCCGAAATTATCAACTCTTACGAACAAAACATAATTACAAAATCCAAACTCATTCAAAATTTATCTTTTAATGAAATATAAAATAATACCTTTCATGGTAATGGTTAATATAGTCTACGGCATTCTATGGGCTTTTACAGATTTTTAAACTGACGATTTACAAATTTTATAAAGATATACTTCGCTAATACGTAATAAGGACGTTATCGATTATTTTGCTATTTTACCATAAATCGAAAGAAGATAATTAAATACAAAATAACATATTTTTACTTAATAAAAAAGTAAAAATATAGAACAAAATGTGAGAATTTAAAAGAAAAACTTGATTATTTTTCATCCTAAATTACCGTACAAAAAGTAATGTAATTTATATGCAAATATATAAACAATTCATTCTAAATAACATTTACCATCGTCTATGTGCCAATTTTAATGCTTGATTAATGTGTAACTTATATTAAATTTACATGCAAATTGATGAGAGAATATCACTATAAATTTCAATATAAGGTTGCTCGATGGATATTAATAAAAAATTTAAAGATACGTATACCATAATGAAATACACAAAAAAAAAAAACAATTAAAAACTTACAACAGAAATTCTTTTTCTGTAGTTACGGACCTTCCCTTATCAACCTATCAACAGAAAAATGCTTTATCAAATAAGTTTTGATAGTAGAACTAATCGGATCTCAACTTTATATAAACTCTAAACAGAATATTAATTTCAACGAAACGACTCAACAAAAAAAATTAATAAATCTTTCGCTAATTAATTCTCTCTTCTTAATATAACTTTAATATTTTGGAAGTTTGACTTTATAATAAGTTCAGCAACTTTGGTCGGATTTAATAAGATAATGTTTACGTCAATTATTTAACATTTATACGATTTATTATGTTAATTAAGAGTTTTAATGCATAAAGTTTTATTGGTTTTTTTCGCTGTATTGATTATATAAAATCATATCTAATCTCTTCCCATGATAAGAAATTCTTCCTTTAAATTAAATTAATCATAAACATCAATGGCCATTATGAGATTCGAATTCGTGGACAAATAAGAACGAAACCATGCGTTTAATAAATTATAATTATCGGATTAATCACGTGTAATTAGTTAAGCAATATTTTAACTATTTAACTTTATATATTCTCAGACATTTCATTAATTACAAACGTTATAATGCGTGAAACTTCAATCGTAGCTCAACAATAATTTATAAATAGTATCGGTGAATCTCTCTCTCATCTTCAGCTTTTTAGTTAGAGTTTTTGCACTTAAAACATGAAATATAAAATTATTGTAAGAAAATACATTTTAATTATTAATTTTTAGTTTACATTTTCGTATATATAGTCTATAGAATAAATATATTCAATTTAAACTGCAAAAAAAAAATTAACGAGCGATGATGCGAGAAATTCGTTCTGCAGAACGAATCGATTTTTTTTTCAAAGATTGCTCCATAGAAAGTAGAGAAAAATTCAAAGTGTGATAAGAATAGGAGACAATCTTGTTAAGATTTTAATTTATTTCATTCTTACAATGGACGATAATAATAGAAAATAAGGTTAAAAGAAATTCGAATAATTTTTATGATTAGA